TGCATGTGCCTCTCTTCTTGACCATATATGAGGAGACTCAAATGCAATTCGCTGCTTCCTTGCTGGAAGTACTCGCTTATTTATGTTAGCAACCTATGGTTGCAAGTCGTACGTTTAAGACCTAAAGCCCTGGAGATTAATTTGCTTGTTCAGCTGACCATGTATTGAGGGTGGAGAAATAAACACATGTTTCCAAAAGGTTTTAATAAACGTATACATGTATTATGAATGGAAAAATTGCACTTCTGCCTCCTGAATCTTATGTAATGTCTGGTGTATTTCTGAAGGCTTCCCCTGGTGCCTGAGAATGTCTTGAAATGCTGTGTTTGCATATGAATTAAATTCCGGTTTGCAGTTCGTATAACTAAACGAATTTTGACAAAAAACTTGTCACTTCTTGTGAGAATGTTGAGATTCGAGACGACCAGGAGGAAACCATTATAAGCAGCTCCTTGGCAGATTCATTCCAATGACAGTAAAATTAAGAAATTAGCAGAACATGCTTTTATCTAAGCAGCGTAAATATATTTCTCTTCTAAAAAGAAAGGTCGTAAAGTTTAACAGTGACTTGGAAGTATAGTTCAGCTATGCTCTTCAATTAATCATATTTTCTCCAAAGAAAACCTTCCATCTTATGTCCTTGAGAGGAAAGGCAGATGATGTAATTGTAATGGAGTTGTATCCAAATATAATCCATATCCACAAGGATGATAAACTTTAGTAAGAGATTTTGAATCCAATAAATATGCTACTAAGCCATGGAGTAATGAAGAGAATCAAGCTATTACATGAATCTCTCTTAGACTCAAACATCGGTCTCTGTCGCCTTAGGCTGAATCCAAATCTGCAGAGTACACAAGCTATCAACAAACGCCATGCTCTTGAACCGTAAGAGAATCAACACATCATTTCATCCAGAAAATGCCTAGTATTAACGGTGATTGTTAACTACGTGTGCCTGAAAATTTCAATCCACAACCAGAGTTAGGGTACCTTTCCGCGAATACAAGAACAGAGATGCACAATGTTCATGTTAAGTAAATAGCAGCATTATTCTTCCTCTTTTAACTTTGAAGTTGCTTATTTCAATCCCCCAACTTACGGAAATTTTCAAAATACACCCCTTCCTAAAATCAAGTCTTGTAGTTCTATTCTGTATGGTGAAACAAACTGATTTCTAAACCTAAACAACCTGTTCATGACACCAACACTCTTAGGCAAAATGACATAGCAGATCATAGTTTATTTTAGAACAAAACTAATGACATAAGGCAATCTATAAATTAGAGAACCAACCTATCCCCAGTCCTGGCAGTCCACAAAGGGATGGGGTGGGTGTCCACCCTCTGGAGGAGGCTTGGTTGGGATTAAATTGCCCCATGAGGTTTCCACAGTAGTTTTCATCACATCTGTTGCAAATCACAATAATGTAAGATCATTAGATCAATAGAATATCTAAAAATAAACAATATATATACACACACATATAATGAAACACTGTATTATTCAAGACATTTATAGTAGTACATCTTGAGCCAGGAGCAAACTGCTAAGAGCTTCAGAATCACACCCTTGTTTGTCTTTGTCTGGCTTACTTTCTAAACCAGTTTCTCTGCTACAGAAATTGAAGCTAGGCCAATCATAACTATCTCAAAAGTAGGGTCAACTTTCCTAAAAAACTGATTTTAATTCTTAAAGAACTAGTAACTAAAACAATAAATTTATAATTAAGAGCATGCTTGGTGAAATTTGTAAAAATTTAGTTTTTTGACACTTTATATTTTATAAATTTAAATTTTCTTTTAAAAACTTACATTTTTTAATTTTTTTTAACTTTAAAAAGAAATTAAACAATAAATTTTAAAATGCTTTAAATTTATACTTTTTATAAACTTTCTTTTTACTTACTTTTTATTTATTTTTTATTTTTAAAAAAAACTTTTCAAATAAAAATTTAAAATTATTAATCATAAAAATATAAAAAAAGTACAAATTTTTACGAGTTTTACCAAACATGCTATACATAACTTGAGCTTTTGCAACCAAACTTGTTAGCTCATTATAGTTTCATCTGATAATTCAACAACCATAGTCAATACAATAAAAATGTCTCCTTAGCTCATAATAAAAAGTTAAAAGAAAATGTCAAGAATTGAAATAAAAAGCGAATTAAATTCCATGGAGAGGAGTAAAATTACCTGGTGCAGCTTGAAGATGTGGGTTCTGCATATTGTTCTTAGGATGAAAGTACTTACAGTTATCCCCGTACTGCCAAAATCTCCGAAGAAGAACAGTTAACACAGAAAAAAGCGGGCAGATTCAAAATCCTGGAAGAACAACAGCGAATAACATAGAAATCAACAGTGAAGTTTTGACGAAGTGATTGCAGGCTTCATTGGCAAATGGGTCTCGCCTGATTGGGATCTGAAATGGAAATCGAAATTCTAGGATTGTAGGCATGTTTGATGTATTTGTGTATTGATATGAATGGATTATATGTACTCGCACCGTTGAGGGAGTGATACCATTGAACTCTGGCGCGAAGGTGCTGAAGGCCCTGGAGGTGGCGCTTTCTGGCGGCCTGCGTGTCTTGGAGCTCCTTGTCGCAGTAGTCGCAGTAATCTCCGACGGTATTCTTTTTCCTTCTCTTCTTGTACACCGATTTTTTGTCTTCCTTACAATCACACTCGAGTCTTGGACATGGCTGTTGTGGGTTTTTTTTTTTTTTTAAACACAGCTAAAGTCTGATTAATGGAACATAGCTATATAACATCCACAGTTTAAATTTTTATCTTATTGATAAAAACTAATAATTATACATAAGATATTGAGTATAATTAAGAATATAAAATAAAAATAAATTGAATTTACCAACAATTTAAATAATTCATAGGTCATTAAAAATAAAAAATTTTAAATTTGAATCGTATTATATGTAAGTAAAGTGAAACAAAAAATAATATATAATTATTTTTTATTATGTAATCAATATAAAGAATAATAACAAATTGACTTTCATGGCTAATGATTCTTCCAAAACCTTATTATTTAGATTTGGTTAATTAAAAATTCAACTCTATTAATCCCTTAAATAATTTGCTAAAATATTCCTCGTCCCTATATTTCTTTATGTTCAAAAAAAAAAATCAAGTTTAATATAAAAAGTGATGAATATATC